TGAAAGAGCCAAAGTTCAAGAAGTTGTAATGTAGAGGATGATGATTCTAGCACATTGTTGGTTGATATAAGGCATATAAAATTAGCAAGAAAAACAGCGAATGATATTGAAAGTTCAAGAAAATACTTATATGATAAAGGAAATCAGATTAAAAAAAATGATTCTAAGAAATTCATTCATTATCAAAAATCCACAGATGTACGGGATAGTAGTGGAATATATGATGTAAGATACAGCGATTGAAGTGGAATTAGAAATAAGAAGGATGAGCGATACCTGGAAATTAAGCTTGACCATGCCGATAACATGTTTGAGAAGAGAAAATGGAAAAATTCAAGTACTATTGTAATGAAGTCTAAGCAAACAAATGAAGATAAGTATGACAATAAAAATATAGCAGGAAAACAGTGCGAATTGAGGACATACATCCCTTTGATGAATCTGTGCTGATACCAAGATCTCATGATGAAACTTGTCAAGTTGGAAATAACAATCTTGTTGAGCCAATTGTGCTAATAGATTCTGAAAGTAAAAGATATGATGATGGAGGTTCTTATACCTAAATATAGTGAGAAGGAAATGTCACGAATTAATGCAAAAATATCCATCGTAGCAGCAAGATATAAAGATAATATGAAATATATCATTAATGAAGGACTTAGTAAAAAGGGAATAGATGCTGAAAATAAACTTGAAGCATTTAGCCATTGTCAAGGTCCTGATATGGGTAACATTGATGGAATGGGAGTAAAATGAATAATCATAAAGCATTCGAATATCAACAAAAATTAGCGGAAGTGAGCAATGATGAGACAGTGGGTGAGGTGGCTACTATTATGCTGAAATAGGTGTTGAAGAAGATGAAAATAAGGCACCTGAATGGTATTCGGAATCATCAAAAGGTAATAATATATGTAGACAGAACAATCTTAGATTGTGTTACCAATATGGAGTTAGAATTGGTAAGGATGAATATGAGATATTCATCCATTATCAAAAACCTTTTAACATAGACAATACTGATAGAACATGTGCTGTTGGGGATTGTTATGAAAAAGGGAACGATGTTGATGAAACGAGTGATGTTAGACATTGTTGCCAAAACGTTACGGTGGTGGCAATGAAGGCACCATTGGACATTGTCACCAAGTTGGACATGATGATGAAAGGTCTGCAGAATATATTGATGAATGATGGGATTAGTAATGATGATGTGTATCTAAAGGGATAGTATGAATGAATTAAAGAAGGTGTGAATAGGGATATTGAAGGTAACAAGCGAAGTGATATGAACATGACACGAACAATTAATGGTAATGCAGAGAAAATTGATGAGAATGAAGAAACGGATGTCATAGTTAGTACAAATAATGATGACAAGTATCAAGTGAACAGTGAAAAGTTTAGAAACTCACCTGGATCGAACGAAAAAGCTGCCTTGAGCATCGAATCCGCTGGTATGAGATTCGAAGACAAAGATAAAATGAACCATAACCTTGAGAATGTAAATGAAATGGGCTATGCAGATCGAAATATTAAAGGTATGTATCATAGTAATGTTACGAAAAAGGGGTATAGAAATCTGAGGTCTAGCGCGTGAAATGCTTGTAGCGACAAAAATTCAGTTTCGGTATTGAAGACATTGAATCATATCAAAAAAATTAGATTTATCAAGCATCTCTATTTGGACCATATGATTGAATGTAATGGATTAAAACATGCATTATTTGGGAATCAGCTTGAAATGTGCAAGCTTGGGCGAATGGACCTGACAGCGAGACCGGTTTGTCATGAGTGACATTGCGAAGCTATTCAAAATAAAAAAATAAAATAAACTTTTTTTTGTACTAGTGTATATACTAATTGTACTAATTGAAAGGTGTATTGCATTAGTAATATATAGGTTGTTAATAATGTTGAGTAGTGCGAATAGACAAATTGTGTTAGTAGTTTAGAATTTTACAAAGGTAGAAACTTCAGGGACGAAGTTCTGGGTGATCTAGCTCGTGTCATAGTGAATTTCGGTATTCTGTGATTTTGTGGTGCTGGGCATGACTAGGATCAGGATTTGCATAAGTGGGGTGATTCGGATTTGTATGAATTTAATTTATAGTCTAATTGTATATACTGCAAATGCATGTAACCCAGGTAATAATTTATCCAGTGATAATCTTGTAATAAATATAGAGCGATCTCTAATAATAAAAAATTAATTAAGTTTTTTGCTTAGTGTATACACATCCCTAGTGACAACACATTCTCCTCTTGTTGTAGTATAAGGTGGCGAGATGGCAGTGCCTAGAACAATACACCAGTGCCAAGTGGGTGTTCTGTCTCTGTGAAATGAATAAAGACCTTGTAAACTGTGATTAGTCACGATACTATCACTCTCAACCAACAATCATTTATATTCTTGCTTTAGCTGCCAACCATTTGCTACATTCTCTAAAATCTTACTTTGCTTCTTCTCAATAATATCATTTAACTTCTCAATTTCTTTCTCTAAACTTCTAATGCATCTTCTTAATCTTTTAACTTCATCTGCCAACCTTATTATTATAAATATTATTATTAATATTATTATAAAAAAAAAAAAATTAAAAAAAAAAACAAAGAAAAAAATTTTTATACCTTTCATTTGCACATCAAGCAACATCCAAAGCTTCATACAAGGCATTTAGCAATTACAGTATTAAGCCCAGAAAGTGCTGTATTAATGAGGCATCTTGATTTTCTTTATTTTTATTTTTTTATTATTTTATAATTATTATTAGAGTAAATTTATTCATCGCATTATACAATGCACTTTATATGTTGCTCTTCTAATCAAATTTCAAGATCAGGTATAATATTATATGATCAAAAAATTCAAAACAAATATTTATTTTGCAAAAATTGCCTATAACTCAAAATTTCGTATATAAAACCATCTTTTGTGCTTTAACAAAAAAAATTCCTTGCAAAATTTTACTATAAAATTTTAATCTTAACTATATGAAATAATTTGGTTTATTTTTGTTATTTTGATTTAAATTACATCTAATCTTATGGGCCAACAACATCCATATATGATATATAAATTATCTCTTATTATTATTATATTATTATTATTATAAATATATTATTTTTCTTACTCCTTACATTAGTTTAACTTCTTTTTTTCTTTTGTTAATTTATTTTATGAACATTATTATCATACTATTTATATTTTTATTTATATTACTCCTTATTACACAAACTTTAATTTTGCCCAAATTTGATAATTTGAACATTTACAAACAGTACAATTAAAAATTTTTATAATTACTGATTGTAGAAGAGTAGTAATGATTTGCAAAATAAATATTTGTTTTGAATTTTTTGATCATATAATATTATACCTGATCTTGAAATTTGATTAGAAGAGCAACATATAAAGTGCATTGTATAATGCGATGAATAAATTTACTCTAATAATAATTATAAAATAATAAAAAAATAAAAATAAAGAAAATCAAGATGCCTCATTAATACAGCACTTTCTGGGCTTAATACTGTAATTGCTAAATGCCTTGTATGAAGCTTTGGATGTTGCTTGATGTGCAAATGAAAGGTATAAAAATTTTTTTCTTTGTTTTTTTTTTTAATTTTTTTTTTTTTATAATAATATTAATAATAATATTTATAATAATAAGGTTGGCAGATGAAGTTAAAAGATTAAGAAGATGCATTAGAAGTTTAGAGAAAGAAATTGAGAAGTTAAATGATATTATTGAGAAGAAGCAAAGTAAGATTTTAGAGAATGTAGCAAATGGTTGGCAGCTAAAGCAAGAATATAAATGATTGTTGGTTGAGAGTGATAGTATCGTGACTAATCACAGTTTACAAGGTCTTTATTCATTTCACAGAGACAGAACACCCACTTGGCACTGGTGTATTGTTCTAGGCACTGCCATCTCGCCACCTTATACTACAACAAGAGGAGAATGTGTTGTCACTAGGGATGTGTATACACTAAGCAAAAAACTTAATTAATTTTTTATTATTAGAGATCGCTCTATATTTATTACAAGATTATCACTGGATAAATTATTACCTGGGTTACATGCATTTGCAGTATATACAATTAGACTATAAATTAAATTCATACAAATCCGAATCACCCCACTTATGCAAATCCTGATCCTAGTCATGCCCAGCACCACAAAATCACAGAATACCGAAATTCACTATGACACGAGCTAGATCACCCAGAACTTCGTCCCTGAAGTTTCTACCTTTGTAAAATTCTAAACTACTAACACAATTTGTCTATTCGCACTACTCAACATTATTAACAACCTATATATTACTAATGCAATACACCTTTCAATTAGTACAATTAGTATATACACTAGTACAAAAAAAAGTTTATTTTATTTTTTTATTTTGAATAGCTTCGCAATGTCACTCATGACAAACCGGTCTCGCTGTCAGGTCCATTCGCCCAAGCTTGCACATTTCAAGCTGATTCCCAAATAATGCATGTTTTAATCCATTACATTCAATCATATGGTCCAAATAGAGATGCTTGATAAATCTAATTTTTTTGATATGATTCAATGTCTTCAATACCGAAACTGAATTTTTGTCGCTACAAGCATTTCACGCGCTAGACCTCAGATTTCTATACCCCTTTTTCGTAACATTACTATGATACATACCTTTAATATTTCGATCTGCATAGCCCATTTCATTTACATTCTCAAGGTTATGGTTCATTTTATCTTTGTCTTCGAATCTCATACCAGCGGATTCGATGCTCAAGGCAGCTTTTTCGTTCGATCCAGGTGAGTTTCTAAACTTTTCACTGTTCACTTGATACTTGTCATCATTATTTGTACTAACTATGACATCCGTTTCTTCATTCTCATCAATTTTCTCTGCATTACCATTAATTGTTCGTGTCATGTTCATATCACTTCGCTTGTTACCTTCAATATCCCTATTCACACCTTCTTTAATTCATTCATACTATCCCTTTAGATACACATCATCATTACTAATCCCATCATTCATCAATATATTCTGCAGACCTTTCATCATCATGTCCAACTTGGTGACAATGTCCAATGGTGCCTTCATTGCCACCACCGTAACGTTTTGGCAACAATGTCTAACATCACTCGTTTCATCAACATCGTTCCCTTTTTCATAACAATCCCCAACAGCACATGTTCTATCAGTATTGTCTATGTTAAAAGGTTTTTGATAATGGATGAATATCTCATATTCATCCTTACCAATTCTAACTCCATATTGGTAACACAATCTAAGATTGTTCTGTCTACATATATTATTACCTTTTGATGATTCCGAATACCATTCAGGTGCCTTATTTTCATCTTCTTCAACACCTATTTCAGCATAATAGTAGCCACCTCACCCACTGTCTCATCATTGCTCACTTCCGCTAATTTTTGTTGATATTCGAATGCTTTATGATTATTCATTTTACTCCCATTCCATCAATGTTACCCATATCAGGACCTTGACAATGGCTAAATGCTTCAAGTTTATTTTCAGCATCTATTCCCTTTTTACTAAGTCCTTCATTAATGATATATTTCATATTATCTTTATATCTTGCTGCTACGATGGATATTTTTGCATTAATTCGTGACATTTCCTTCTCACTATATTTAGGTATAAGAACCTCCATCATCATATCTTTTACTTTCAGAATCTATTAGCACAATTGGCTCAACAAGATTGTTATTTCCAACTTGACAAGTTTCATCATGAGATCTTGGTATCAGCACAGATTCATCAAAGGGATGTATGTCCTCAATTCGCACTGTTTTCCTGCTATATTTTTATTGTCATACTTATCTTCATTTGTTTGCTTAGACTTCATTACAATAGTACTTGAATTTTTCCATTTTCTCTTCTCAAACATGTTATCGGCATGGTCAAGCTTAATTTCCAGGTATCGCTCATCCTTCTTATTTCTAATTCCACTTCAATCGCTGTATCTTACATCATATATTCCACTACTATCCCGTACATCTGTGGATTTTTGATAATGAATGAATTTCTTAGAATCATTTTTTTTAATCTGATTTCCTTTATCATATAAGTATTTTCTTGAACTTTCAATATCATTCGCTGTTTTTCTTGCTAATTTTATATGCCTTATATCAACCAACAATGTGCTAGAATCATCATCCTCTACATTACAACTTCTTGAACTTTGGCTCTTTCAATTTGGGCAAGCTTCAGCTAGGTGTCCTGGCCTTCGACATTCGTAACATAGTCATGGTTTTCTAATCCTTTCTTTGTTTTCCATTGTTCAATTTCATTAACCAATTCTGTTAACCTGCTTATAATCCTTTTAATTTCGCAAGTCCACATCTCCATCTTTATCAATTCCAATTTCATTTAACCATCTAACTTTAGGTTATGTTTTTTTTTTTTTTTTTTTTTTTTTTTTTTTTTTTTTTTTTTTTTTTTTTTTTTTTTTTCTTCTTTCTTTTTTTTTTTTTTTTTTTATTAGCTTTTTTCTTTTTTTTTTGTGGTTT